GGGGACTTACTGGTGAAGGACCGGATAGACCGCGAGCAGATATGCAAAGGGAGGAGAAGATGTGAGTTGCAGTTGGAAGCCGTGGTGGAAAATCCCTTAAATATTTTTCATATCGTTGTGGCGATTGAGGATATTAATGATCATGCTCCCCAATTCCGTAAAGATGAAATAAACTTAGAAATAAGTGAATCCGTTAGCCCAGGAATGAGAACAATTCTTGAGTCTGCAAAAGATCCCGATATAAATATGAATTCACTGAGCAAATACCACTTAAGTCCTAATGAGTATTTCTCATTGATGGTGAAAGACAATCCCGATGGTGGCACGTATCCAGAATTAGTACTGCAGAAGACCCTGGACCGAGAAACACAGAGCACTCACCACTTGGTGCTGACTGCTTTGGATGGTGGGGACCCGCCCCTGAGTGGCACCACTCAGATCCGAGTCCAGGTGGTGGATGCCAATGATAACCCCCCAGTGTTTAGCCAGGACGTTTACAGGGTCAGCCTTCGGGAAGATGCTCCTCCAGGCACCTCTGTCTTAAGGCTGAGGGCCACTGACCAGGATGAAGGCATCAATGCCGAGTTCACCTACTCCTTCCTTGGTGTGACTGACAAAGCCCAACACGTGTTCTCTCTGGATTCCCGCACAGGGCTCATTCTAACTCATCAGCCCCTGGATTTTGAAGAAGTAGAAAGATATACAATGTACATAGAAGTAAAGGACCGAGGATCTCTCTCTACACAGTGTAAAGTAATTATAGAAGTTCTAGATGAAAACGACAACAGCCCTGAAATAATCCTCACTTCTCTCTCTGATCCCATTTCGGAGGATTCCCCTCCTGGAATGGTTGTGGCTCTCTTCAAAACACGGGACCGAGATTCTGGGGAAAACGCAGAGGTCACTTGTAGTTTAGGTAGAGATGGTCCGTTTAAGATTCTTTCTTCTTCCAGTAATTACTACAAATTAGTAACAGACGGGACCTTGGACAGGGAGCAGACTCCAGAGTACAACATCAGCATCACAGCCACCGACAGGGGCAAGCCGGCTCTCTCTTCCAGCACAACCATCACCCTGCACGTCGCTGACATTAATGACAATGCTCCCATTTTTGAACAGCCGGCCTACTTAGTCCACATACCAGAAAACAACACACCTGGTGCCTCCATAACCCAGGTCGGTGCTCGGGACCCAGATCTGGGACCCAACGGGCAGATTTCCTATTCCATCGTGGCCAGCGACCTGGAGCCTAGAGCGCTGCTGTCCTACGTGTCTGTGAGCGCACAAAGCGGCGTGGTGTTCGCACAGCGCGCCTTCGACCACGAGCAGCTGCGCACCTTTGAGCTCACGCTGCAGGCCCGCGACCAGGGCTCGCCCGCACTCAGCGCCAACGTGAGCCTGCGCGTGCTGGTGGAAGACCGCAACGACAACGCGCCGAGGGTGCTGTACCCCGCGCTGGGGCCCGATGGCTCGGC